TCAATATCCACTGTTAATGAAAAGTGAAGATACTAGAAGAGAAACTATATTCAATTATTCTTGTCTACGTAATTTTTTGTGATTATAATATCAAACTTTTTTTAGATATCTGAAAATATTAGGTTTTTATTTAAACCTAAACCGTCATTTTCATTTAACTTTCTTTATTCTTATGAATAAAATATTCATTTATCTTTTTCTTAAAAGCATAAATTTCAAAAAATTGTTTATCTTTATGTTTGTAAGTAATAAAATTCTGTAATGTATTTATCTTTATTGCATAAATCTAAGTTTCATTTCGAGTCATTTTATTATAGAGCACAATAAAGATAAGCCAACAACTCTATTTGAAAAAGTACTTGTGAAATTCCAATAAAATGAAATAGTTGGAAATAAAAAGTATCATACTTAAAGGATTTATTTGTTTGTCTCGAAAATAAATGATAAAGTGGGCAACAACTTTAAGATTATAATGTACCGTGTACCCATTCTTAAATATTTTTAAAAGTAATGTAGAGCGAAACATATAATTTCGATGAAGATTAAACATTTTCAATAAAAGATCTGCAGATAACAATCTATCATCATAGGTGTAATGATTTATATGGTTAATCTGTTAAATCAAATCCAATCTAGTTATATTTTAATGATAGTGATGTAGTCTGAATGCTAAACTCCAGTTTGGTTCCGCCACGAAATGATGATTATTTTCTGACTTTTTTGAGAATAAAATAAACAGATTTATCTCATAACAGTATTATAAGTAGAAATGCCAGAAAACGTATATTAATACATTTTCAATAGGAACGAGTTCAAACGCGTTTTGGTTTTCGAACGCGTTCAACCGCCTTAAAATGATGTATGTTGGACACATTCAAACGGCATCTTTTGATATAAACCAGTTAGGATGCTGTAGAACTAGAATGTATGAAGTTGTGTTTATTAATTCCAAACACGCTCAGAGGCTCCGAAAATGTTGCATTTTGGATGCGTTCAAACGCATCAAGTTGCATAGTTTGTACAAATTCAGGGACACTTTAGAAGTTTAAGCATGAATACATGAGCGATAAAATGAATATCATTGAGTTATTCTAATTTCAATAAAAATAGATAGGTTTTCGTATAGCATCTACTAGTCAGGTCTTTATTGTAGACTTAGATCAGTTTGTATGATTCTGAATCGCTGCACATAGAAATAATGAAAACAAGATAATCATTATCGATTGAAAACTTAAAGAGATATTTGTGAAAAATTATTCTGCTTAAAATATCTATCATAAAGAGTCATTTATAGAAATATTCTTCGGCTTCTTATTCCTGTTTAAATGAGTTAAGAGAAAGCTGATATGCTTACCCAAATGAATTAGAAAAGTCAATTTTTTTCTTTCAGTTACTATCTTTTAAACCTAACATAATTACACAATAGAATTTTCTCCAACCACAATATCATTGCAACGAAGATGTGGCACCCAGAACCCGTGGACGCATTTTTGCACAAACACAACTTCCTTTTTAAAGTATTTATTCTCACTAACGAAACTGTATAACTATATGTTGAATTGCGTCTCAGAAAGCAATACATCCAAACGTGTTTTCGCAAATTCGACAGATTGACAGAAGCATCCAGAGAAATGCATTTTTTCGACTCTATCGATTAAATAACGTTAATAGAAGAGTCATAGTTTCCTTCCACTATCAAACGTGATCAGAAGCATAGAATGATATGAGTGCGTCCCAACGCATTTCATAATAAAAGGTTAAATGCGTTCGTGAAACACAGTGGTTGGTGCATTTAGATGCATTTTTGTCATGCTTCCATATAAAAACGCGTCGGCACGCCAAAGATTTGCAACATAGATGCCTCTAGTCGCGTCTAAAACGCGTTTCATGGTTACATGGGATCTATGGTAAGCAAGACCTAAAATTCCTATAGGATTAAATCCAAAATCTATTGGCCCGTATGTTTTTCGATATCCAAAAATATTCGGGTTTTTCGTGGAACGTCTCGTAATACCGCAAGTACATGACATTCTTCATTGTTCGAACATAATTCATTTTATGAACCGCTACATTGTTTATCATAATTAAATGATGTATTCAATTCAACAGAACTTTGTATACATCCACATTGATTATTAATTGAAGAATAAAATGTAATCTATTAAAAATCATTACATTAAAACATTCTTTAAATATCTTAAAAGCTTCAAACCTTCATTTTTCGATTATGAGTTCTTCAAGTTGGCTCACCTTGAACAAATACTGAATGCATAAGAAAAAGTATTTCGTAGTGTCTCTTCTTTTTTCTTTTGTTCGAAATACTTGAGAATCGTTTTATCTTAGGTCATTTTAATCATGGTATGATCAATTATATACTATATATAAAACTAAAGTCTATAGAAAAATATCATTTTTCTATCAAATAGTGTACTTGTCAGCAATATTTTATTTAAAGAAGAAAAAATGAATATTTTTCATTTATATGTATAATGTAAAAATAAAATTCATGTATTCGAAAATATTCTACAAAAACAAAAATAATCAATTCACTTTTTAATTTATAATGAACTATAGAACAGCGAATAAGTATGATCATAAGATTAATAATATTTCGTATCGTAAAAGTAAAATTGACATATAGAAATAGAATTCTTATTTGTGCAACGCAAAAAAAATATGTTACTATGTTACAGATGTTAATTCGAGTGCTTGCTTACACCATAAGATTATTTGAAATTGTTCCTATGATATATGTATTTGAGTATTTGTCTAGTACTTATCATTCTAAATTCAAAGTTTGTATTAACGTAATGTATGAAAATTAGATTATAAAAGAAAACTGAATTTGATATGGTTGAAAATATATAAATAGGCGTTTTCTTGGATATGATAAAATAGATCAGTTAAACAAAAAAATAATTAAGAGTAAAAAATTTATTCATCGTATTATATATATTGTACTGAAATTATTGTCATTTTACTATCTTCATTGTCAACATCACTTTTTTTTTGTATCAAAGAAAATTATAGCGTATATCTCAAGTATAATCGTGCGCTATCTCTTTTTCTTCTTTGTTCTTGTTAAAACATGTATATCAGAAAACAAACAGCCTTATCACAAAATCTTTATTAAAACACCATTTTCATCTATAAGGATAAAACAGAAACAGAAATAGAAACAAGTATTTTTTTTCAAACATTTGGATTCATTTTTCATTTGAAAAGGTAATTTATTGTAAATATTCCAAGTATCTATTTGATCTTTAGTTATTAGTGTTATTATTTTTATATAGATATACTACTTTTCACCGTGTAGTTTCTGTGTTGAAAAATAGTTGTTTGACTTTTTAGAGTCGATGATAAGTTAAATTATATCCAGCAAAAACTTTCATAATGGACACTTTTGTACGGTTTTACAAAATGGTTTTTACATGAGTTGAATCTCTCCATATTGGACACTAATTATCAGTTAATATCGATTTTTCCATTCATGTTTTCGACGAGTACGATACTAATGACGATCTGAAGTGACTAAAAGTAGATGAGATGGATGGAGAAGAAGCAGAAAGATATGTTTCTGGTAGAAAATATCTAAATTCTATCTGAAATATTCGAAATAACGAACAAACTTCATGTCTTCTTATTCATTCTATAGTTTCAATAGTACGGTCGTCATCTACCATCTCAAATTGCTAGTAATTGACATTTATCTGAATTCGATAGTAACAAAACCGAAATCTGTCAAAGATTAACTTAAATAATGACTGTTTTTTTTCTATTTTTAAAGATAAAAATAAATGGAAAGAGAAGTAACAATGTGCTTCAGCTGGATATTTTATTTGCTAAAACTTTTCAAAAATCTAGAACACGTATATGTTTTTTTTTCGAAAACGTTAACTTTTAGAAAAGCGGTAATCTTTTTACAATAGGCACCTTCCTATAATAAATACATTCGAAAAGTTCGCACAATGCTGACTGTAGAAAGATTTTATTGTATTGGTGTTAACTTATTTTGACTATCAGATTTGATTAGTAGTTTTCTTTTTTGTGAAAAAATCATGTCGATATACTTGATCTTTCTTCATGTCTTCCAAATTGAGAATAAAAGGAAATTAATAAAATATATAATGGCTGATATTCATTTTTGAAATTTCAACATATTCGAATAGTGTTTCTTGAAAAGATAATGAATATGAATATAAATATTGAAATTAAATTTCCAATCTCTTTTCAAAATGTGAAAAGAAAATGAGAGCAAATAAATAGTCGTTGCTTTGTTTGTTTTTAATTTTGTACAGTAATAAACTTACCATATCTTTTTCATACAAAAAATTGTCACAAATAATGAAAATGATTATCATAGTGATGCTTGATGAAGTATAATTCTTCAAAACAATATTCATAATCTGTGTAGTTCTGAACTTAGACGCGAAAGGATGTGTAAAGTGAAGGAACAGTCGCCTCCTTCCGACATTTTTTTTTCGATTATTTAGAACAAAATCGAGCAAAAATTGAGATCATACTATCTCAAATGAGCTTCGGAAACCTTGATTTTTTTTGCGTATGATTATCTCTCATTCCTTATCAATATCTTAAGTTTGCTACAGAATCGATTTAATACTAAATCTTATTACTTATAAGTATATAGTATTGTATATTGTAATTTGAACAATGATATTATAGCACATTAAAGATTTTTTGCCTATTAAACTTGAATATAACTAATCAACGACAGAGAATATAGCTGAAAATTATAGGTTACAATGGATGAAAGCACACAATCATGGAAAGATCTTATCACTCGTTACAGTGAAAAATCTAAATTCAAATCACGCACCTGTAAAGTCTACGATATTCAAACAAAGTGTTCTGCCAGTTCAAATAAGTTATGTCCCTGCAATCGTATGGTTCGTCGCCATAGTTTCACTGGTGAGTCTCTAGAGTCCGAAAACCGAAGCAAAGAAAATACTGAATGGGTACATCCAAATGAATTTCGCGCAATGACTCATACCGTTCAAGTGCCTATCAATGTCTTTGGCATATTAAAACCTACTGGTTGTAAATATCTTCGAATAGATAGTCGATTACCAATGAAAGATTTATTTCAATTGCTTCTTGAAGATTGCGGAGAACAGAGACCAGTTCTTATCTTAAGTATTTATGGTGGAGCCAAATATTTTACTATGACAGAACGACTTGAAAAAGAATTTATAACAGGTGTTATTGATGCTGCTACTGTAGCCAGTAAATAATTTATATTTTTTGAATATTATTATATTAATAGATATATTTAGATGCATGGGTTCTTACTGTTGGTATCAATAATGGTATATCAAAATTGGTTGGCGAAGGTATTTCACATTATCGTCTCTTATACGAATATCCGATTAACGTGAAATGTATTGGAATGACTATGTGGGGTACAATAAATGAAAATACACGTCTTGAACTTAAAAGTTCATCAAGCGTAAAACAATGGAAATATTTGTAAGAAATGTAAAATACAAAAGACATTTTTATTTCATAGGGATTTCCACCACCACTATGTAAACGACAGATTCCAGACAATGCTCAAGAATTTAAAGAAACAATCGAACGAAATCATACACATTGTATTTTATTTGATAGTGGTAGACTGAATGAATATCT